GATACGCAGAAGACTGCTGTTTTATTATAGGCGGTTGTCATATATTGTATTTTCCGAGTTGCACAGTGTATAAACTGAAACATTGAGATCAAAAGTGCCGACGCAGAGTGATCGATCTGATTCTTTAGCTGTAAACTGTGTCACAGGGTTCAAAATGGCCGCGCCCTATGTTGGGCGTGTCGGACCTCTCTCTTGCCTCGTATAGTAATCAAAGTATGTGGTGTAAGCCCAGACAGCACACGTCATCTTAAAAAGGGTAAGTTCGGTTTGGAACTCGGCGGATCGGACAGAGCGCGCACGGAGTGCGTGACGTCATAGACATAGTTCGCTCTTTTTACAATCTCAAGACGAACACAAGGGGAATAACATATGACACTAGTGATAGTTTGCACTTGAATACACTTTTGTGTGTGTCTATGGACGTAAAAAAATAATTAATAATTAATAAATTAAATTACGCGCTCTTTCAACCTGACCGGAACTTGGTTCAACGATCGAAGCGAATGTTTTTATTATGCTTTGTCTTATTTCAACAGTAGAATTTAAACAAGGACGTGTATCTGAATGTGAATATTAATCGGGTTCCGTGGTTCGTAGCGTTCTGCGTTGTCCTTTCGTTTAGAGATGTAAAGTACAGTTACTTTAGACTACTCATAACTATTCGTTACTTTTTAGTAATGTACTCGTTACTAAATATTCTTTACTTTTACTTTAGAAATCTTTATTTACAATTTAATAATAGTATCTACATGTGAAGTCAAAATTATTATATTCACACTACCGAGTCCTTATAGACTTTTCGTGCAGGTCAAAAACCAGGGTGGATAAATCCGCCCACAATAATTCGCTCGACTAAATGTTTGAGAAATATATTAGCCCTCACTCCTTACCTGTTCGGTATTATTAAGGGATTGTGGTTTTATTTGGAAATCGGTAATGGGAAATGGTGATAGGATATGTCGTGTTTTAGTTATGTCTTTTTGTCCCCTGAAAAAGCTAGAAAAAACAGGGTTGTCCTTGTGTGTGTGTGTGTGTTGGTATAGTCTTTGGTTTGTATGTACATTTCACAGGCCGATTGATTGATGTGCCCTCCAACTGCGTAATAGTCGCGAAATTGTGAGTTTCGCGTCCGCTTCACCGTTGCCCGGTCCACCGATCAATCCTCCGTCCGACTGAATTGCGCGAATATCTAGTCGGTGTGAAATATTGTTTAGTATTGTTTGGGACAGCTAGGGAGGATGTTATTGTCTATTTCTGTTCCTGTAAATGTCTAGTTTAGCGTGGATACAGCCGTGTTTCCTACGCACGTTGTCGCCCCGATATATGCTTAGGATATCGTCCCTCACACTATCGGGAAGGCATTGCTTATAGAAATTTTCGGCTGTATCGAGAATATAGTCTTTAATTAAGGGTATGTCTGTCTGTGCATGTCGAGAATTCTGGCATAGCGATCGTATCCCAGAGCTAGCCTCAGACATCTGTTTTGTGCTACCTGTAATTTGCTGAAGTGAGTGTTGGCCATAGAACAAAACACTGGACATCCATATGTTAGGATTGGTCTTATGATTGTTTTATACTTGAGTAGCTTGTTTGCCTGTGTTACTCTACTTTTCCTATTCAGGATTGGGTAGAGGGTTTTAATGGCCGCATGGTTTTTGGCTACTCTGTCCTTTATGTGTTGGTCGAAGGTTAACCCTCCATCTAATACGAAACCTAGGTACTTCATTTTGTTGCTCGTTACAATCTCGTAATTTGCAACTTTTAAGGGTGTATTGACACCCCTCGATCTCCTTTGTGTAATTAGCATACTTTCAGTTTTATTTGCATTGATATTCATTTTATTTTTCTTAAGATAGGGGATTAACCTTCTGTTAATTATGAATATCCAGCGTCCTGACTGCACTTTCGGCCAAGTGATTGCTTTTGAAGAGGCAGATGTCGTCGGCGTACAGTGCCGTTTGTACCCCATTATTACCCATTGGTATGTCATGGGTCATAATGGAGTACAAGTGGGGCGACAGTACTGAGCCCTGAGGTACTCCCGCCTGCGCAGTGTAAGGTCCTGTGGTAGTGTTGTTTATTTTAACGTTGAATCGTCTATCAGTTATGTAGGATTGAATTATTTTTACAATGTGAACCGGAAAATCATTCACAAGCATTTTGTGAATTAACCCACAGGTCCAGACGAAATCAAAAGCTTTTTCGCTATCCAGCGCCACTAGCACCGTTTTCTTGTTGACATTTGTGGCCTCTTTGGCATGGTGAACTATACGAATAATCTGTGCTGTGTCCGCTTCTGAATCCGTACTGTTCCTGAGGGATAATTTGTAGTTGGTCTTCTGTATTCTTAAGTCTCGTTAAAATTATTTTGTCTACTACTTTTGATAATATGTTTAGCAGCGAGATGGGCCGGTAACTTTCGATTTTGTTTGGGCTTTTGCCTGACTTTAATATCGGTATTATGTTTGCAATTTTCAGTCAGCTTGGGTAATGTTGCAGCCTGCAAATTGCATTTATTATATAGTTGAGCTGTACTATCCCCTTTTTTGGTATGTTTTTTATTAGGATGTTACTGATGTCATCAGGTCCTGGAGCTTTTCTATTTTTAAGGAATTTAATTGTCTCCACCACCTCTTTAGGAGAGGTGTAAAAAGAGTGGGGTACGTGAACTGAACCCGTTTTTTTAAGGTTGTTAACTAATCTTTCGATTCTATCATGTCGAGCATTGTTTATTTGGTTATTCGTGAAGTTAGCCTGAAAGTGTTCACCGAAGGCTTGAGCTTTCTCGTTGTCCGTTGTGAGTACGTCTTGTCCTTGTTTCATTGTAGGAAGTTGCGAGTTAGGTTTTTTGTACCTTCTCACAACCCCCCACAATGAGTTGTCTCTAGGATTGATTTCGGACAGGGTCTTTTGCCAGACATTATTTCGATGTTCGTTAATTTTCGTGTTTATGTACTTGGCAATGTCCATCAAACGTACCCTGTCTTCTTCTCTCCTGTACGTCTGCCACCTTTTGCGTATTTGGTTTTTGTTTGTTATCAGTTCAGTGATGTCAGGTGGCAGTTTGTCTTTGTGTGGGGTGGTAGTTTTTATTTTTGTCGAGTCGTTTCTAGCTTTTTGTACGACTTTAATGAAATCTTGAGTTATTTGTTTTAGTTGTTGTCGATTTGTAATTTTGTTGTTGATTGTTAACGTTTGTTGTATTTTTTGTCTGTATTTGTTCCAGTCTGTCGTCTTGTAGTCGTAATATTGTTTTTGTTGTCTGTTGATTGTTTGTCTCGTTCTGATTTCGAAGCACACTGGATCGTGGTCAGAATTCATTGTGCTTATCGTTCTGATGTTTTGAACGTCTGGTATATTTTTAGTGATTGCAATGTCCAGTGTGCTTGGGGTACTGCCATTAAATGGGGCGCATGTCGGTTCGTCCGTATAGTGTATAATAAGCTCGTTGTCTTCGGCGTAATCTCTCAGTAAATTGCCTGCGGGGTTGGCGTGAGTGCAGTTCGCGTCCCACTCCGGGTGTTTACAATTTAAATCCCCAGCCAGAAAAACTCTATTCCCCTTTGACATCAGTGTATGCATGTCAGCATTTGGGATTTTCTGAGCAGGGGGGTTGTACACTCCTATAAAGATTAAATTACAGCACTTAACTATGGCGTGTTCTATGAGAGGTGAGATGTTTAGTTTTTGCAAGTTCGCGAATTCTAATGTGTTTTTGACTAGTATTGCGACCCCTCCCGCTGCCTTTTGTCGTATGTTATGTCTGTCTTGTTCCTGTCTGTCCTCTCTAATGATGTTATAGTTCCTGATTCTAATTTTGTCTGTTTGTTTTAGGTGTGTTTCCGTTAGTATTATGATATCGAACTTAAGCTTGTGAATGAAATTTGTTACTAAACCGCGTTTATTTAACAACCCATTCACATTGTAAAAACAGATTCTGACAGCCGTATGCATAGTCAATCGCCAGCGACTCGCCAGAGATTCATTCTGGCGTTTCGCCAGCGATTCGCTGGCGATCCGTCGGCGAAAGCCCAAAAAGGTGGCGTCTCGCCGGAGATTGTCACCGAAATGTCATTTCACGCAAGTTTTTATTTTCTTTTATAGGGATTATCACCGGTATCTCTCGCATTTTATTCATGATTCATTTCTTAAAACTCAAAAAATAATAACCGAATATCAAATTTTCCCCTTTAAAAGAACATGAAAACTTGCGTGAAATGACATTCCGGTGACAATCTCCGGCGAGTCGCCAGCTTTTTGGGCTTTCGCCGGCGGATCGCCAGCGAATCGCTGGCGAGTCGCTGGCGATCGACTATGCATACGGCTGTGAGTCTCTCTTTGTATGTAGGGTTGAATTTAGTTTTTAAAGTTGTTAAGGTTTTTTACAAAATTGTTATATATTATGAAGATGTCACGTTCGTCTCTACATTGTCTGATGGAATTATTGAGGTCCCGAACGGCTCGGGTGAGTTCTGATATATTTACTAAATATTCGTTACTCAAGTACTGGTTCTGACTGGAATATATTATTTAATCTGTCGAAGGTTGAATAAACAAAAATATGTATGATGATAATAATATTTATGATAGTAATATTTATGATAGTAATATTTATGATAATAATATTTATTATATTATTTGGTATAAACAACAACAAAAAAATACAAATAAATTAACCGAAAATTTCAAATACTTTTGAAAAGGATAAAAAATTAAAAAATAATTCTAACAAAACTTAACAAAAAATGAAAAAAAAAAACATAATATCATGCAAATATCTGAAACATAATTGTGTAAATTGACTAGGTCTAGGTAATTTGGTATTGAGATCGAGTAGATAATATCTATTATATTATACTTTGGTTGCAATTCAGGAATAAAATTTTCTGAACAGTTTTGCCTTTGAGATTACAACGCCTAACAGAAACCGCCTCTCCCGCTTTTGAAAAAATTCTCTCTGATGGTACTGAAGTGGCCACAATACATAAATATTTCTTTGTTTACTTGGAAAGCCTTGGATAAACTAATTCATGGTTCTTCCAGTATTCCAGAGGGTTTTCTTTCCTGTCTAAAGGTGAATCTTCAATATACATTCTGATTTCAATTATTGCTTGAGAGAGAGGTGTCTGAACCTTGGATTGTTTGTCAAACTCTTTCCATGCTAGATCATCTTCATCCAAGTCCGAGTTACTCTGATTGGTTTGTCCTATCTGTTCTACTGCCACATTCTCCTTTTCAGTCTCATGTCTTTCCTTATTAATTAAGCCAACTACTTCTTCCTGAATCTTATCTTTAATTCTCTTAAAATATTCCTCAGAACTGAAAACTCGGTTTTTAAACCTGGGATCTAAAAAAGCGGATTTTGCCATTGTATTGTTGAGTTCTATTTTCCCAAATCTAGTTGCCATTGATTGTTCTAAGTTCAGAAGCATATTTTTGCATTCTGGTTGGGTCACTGTTTCATTACTTTTTTGTAATACAGAATTTAAACTTCTAACAATATTTATAACTTTAGATAATGTCACTGTCGTTTCAGCACTCATTTCGCTGGTAACTTGCTCGAAGGGTCTAAGTATTTTACAGGCTTCTTTTAGTATTAACCATTCAGGTTGAGATAGCATTTCTATAGGGTTGTGCAGCAAGCCAATAGTGGCTGTTAGTGGTTCTTCGACCTTTAATACACGCTCAAACATATAAAAAGTCGAATTCAATCTGGTCGGTACATCATTTTTTAGCTTTAGTGGCACAGAGTCTGGATTGATTTGTTTTTGAATGGAAAAAAATTTTGAATTTGCTTGAGTACTTCGGTGAAAATGTTCTACTATAGTTTTAATTTTTTTACGAGTTTGATCTATTTCTTTTAGGCAATCTAGAACCACTAGATTTAGGGTGTGAGCAATACATGGTATATGACTCCATCCAATCATTTTAATGGAGCTCACTACATTAGCCGCATTATCAGTACTAACAGCAAAAATTTTATCAGTTATACTCCATTCAATTGCAACTCGTTGCATTTCTTCGGATAAATTTTTTGCTGTGTGACTTTTTTCATAAGGAAAGCAATCGAGTAAACAAGAATGAAAATTCCATTTTTTTGTTATGAAATGAGCTGTTACTGAAATATAACTTTCATTGGCCCTTGATGTCCAGCCGTCTGTAGTTGCGGTCACAAATTCAGCTGAATGTAATAACTCATGTAATGTTTGTTTAACAGTTTCATATTTCTTAGGTAATAAAGATTGAGTGAATGTTTGACGAGAAGGAAATTTATATGAAGGCTCTAGTTCTAGAATTAATTTTCGAAAGCCAGAGTCATCCACTATTGAAAATTGTTGTAAATCCTTTACAATCATATTTAGGACTAAACTATTTATCTTTTCTTGCCTTGGCAGAGATATTGGTTTCGTTACGAAACTTGATAAGGAAGCTTGATGTTTCATTCGCTGTGCTGTTTGAGTTATTGTGACCTCTTTTGCATTATCCTGGTTTGATGATTGAGGATTTATAAATGTTATACTACTAGTCGACGCTGCCGGTGTGGAATCTGTGCATACTGAGGCAGAGGAGTTTTCTGAAAACCATAATCAAGTTATGTATAGAGTCACTATAGAATAATAACTTACTATTAATTGCTTGTAACTGATTAGTTGATGCATTTGAAGTATGTCTAAAAGCAGATTTATTGAGGCCAATTCCAAGTGTTGGGTGTTTATTCATAAGGTGTTTCTTTAAATTAGATGTTGTTCCTCCTTTATATGAATAACTATTACTGCATAAATTGCACTTTGCCCTCTCATTGGGCAATGTAGTGAAATTATACCAAATTTCACTTTTTTCTGATTTCCAGACATGTTTAAATAAATTAAAAGTACATGTTAATATCACAGATTAAACATAGAAAAAAATTATATTTCTTTAGAAGAAGTATTCGAGTATTCCGAACTTTATCAGCTTATTCTGAGGCACTTACCTGGCAAAATATTCTATTCCATTTTAAAACTAATAGGTTTAGGTCGTTTAGGTTATAGTTATTATTTACAATACAATAATAAAGTAATAGGAAAACACAACAAAACATGGCGTTTCCGATTGGTACATTTAGTGCGCACTGAGCGTATTTGCATCTTTTTCTATCAGCCTGTAAAAGATAGTGATAGAAAATATATCTTTCATTCAACTACCTTGCCTTGCTAATCTTGCTATTGCACTCACTCTAAGTATTTTTGAAATAAGGCGGTGCAACTGCACCGTAGACCGTAAAGACGGGGCATGGTAACCTGAACACAAATTATTGCCCTGCCCTCGCTCCGTTCGGTTAGACTGTACTTTCAAAATGCGAGCTTGGTGCGCAATGCGCATAGAGAATTTCGATTCGAGTACTCAAATAACTATAGCGCCGGCGATTTTTGTATTCGTTATTTCGGATCCGGGCAAGTAACGAGTACTCGAGTAACGAATAGTTACTTTTCTGACACCTCTACTTTCGTTGTCATTTGTCGTTGATGTTGAAAGCCGAGAGGTTAGTTTTTGTTCGTTATTCGTTGATTTTTCATTTGTGTCTTGTGCCGTGGATTACTGTGAATTTATAAGCATAAAAGTTTACTGTCTATACTGAAAAACCAAATAGAAGAACCCTTATTAGTGTTTTAAGTACGTCTAGGCGTCTAGAGCTGACTTAGAAGCTTCATCGGATGTAAATATATCTGAATTAGAGTTGAAAGTATAGGAAGATTGCCATTCTTTGACCAACCTTAACCCACACTATCTACTAAAAATTCTATTAAAGCGAATTTGACAGAGTGAGATATAATGCATAATATTTTACACAGCGCAGTTAAAATTATTGCAACCCAGATTGGCTCAGAAGAGCATCAGACAGAAGATTAACCACTAATGGAGGAACAATAAAAAAAAATAATTTGTGTATTACTTTTTTAAACGAAATGTTTCAGTATTTTGTTAATAACCCAGCTAGCACAAAAATATCCCATCTACGTTAATAAGCTGCAATTTTAGGCTCTTTAAGCTCGCATGCAATGTACTGTAAATGTAACCCTATTATCCCTGCAACTACCGAATGTCCGCAACGGTAAGACTTTTATAGCACATCTCGTAGAAGTTATAAAGTGAAGTTCGGAAAACATCACACTAGCACTTTTACGGTACTTACCCCGAAAGTTGCTCTGAAACTTTCTATAGATGTTATAATGTGAATTCCTTCTACAGCATTATACGGATGGACTTAACAATACTTGTAAAAATATTTATTTTAAATTTTAAAGTACTTCTTCATAATTTCTTTTGCTTGTTAAATAAATACGATTAACGTTGAGAAATTATGAAAAATACCTCTTTTGAAAAATTTAAAATAAATATCTTTACAAGTATAGTTTTGTCCATCCTTGGATACACTATATTCAAAATAGTATATTAAGGATATAGTAAAATCTGAAGAAAACAAAATAAAAAAAATTGTATAAATTTATTATTAAAAAGCTATTGAAATCAAATACCAATATCATACAAGTAGAGGTAGGTAATAATACAGGTAATACAATTACACATGTGTGATACCATAAGGTAGCTATAAAACACTGACAAATTGGACAAAAGTAGGTATAGAGGTTATATAAGAAATATCTCAAAAGTTCACTAGAATCAAAAACATTGAACTCTTGCACGAAAGAGTATAATAAGGTACCTATATTGCAAGGGTTCACTAGTAGCTAAAATGGTGAACGATTGTACAAAAGTAATAAAAAAAAGTGTATTTATATAAGGTATATTTCAAAGGTCACTAGATTTTTTTTAAGATGGCAGTTGTACGATGCTAAAAAAATATATTTGCCTACAACTGGTACTAATCATAGTTTTAATACGATATAACTTGATTAAACTGAATATTGATAAATGTAAAGTTATAAGGTTTAATAAAACAGCTAATATCATTATGCATGATTATGTCACTGCAGGTTCTGAACTATAAATGATCTTGGTGATATTTTTGACAGGGGACTATCGTTTATTCCTCATTTTATTAGATTCCTTGTTCCTGTCAGACTTACTAGGCAGATTAAACTATTTTATGTAAATACTCATAGAAGTAACTGTGGACAGAATTTATTTGTAGACCGACTGATGTCCACTTACAATAAGTATTTTTCAAATTATGACATTTTAGTAGGTTTTTTTTTAAGCGTCGGCTTTCATTATACTATATTGACTTCAATTTTATACTATGACAATTTTATTAATTTCTTTTTTATTTTAAATGTACCATTTAGAACTTTATGTATCTGTAGCGTACTGTAAACAAATAGATAGATAAATAAATAATGTGAACTTAATTATATAGTTTCTTCCTAAAAATAACCTTGTAGATAATAAATTTACTTGTTTATTATTAAAGAAAATAATATGTATAAAGAAAATGAAAAATATGCTCGTTTAAAACGTTGCACCTATTTTTAGTTGATTTTTACTTACTTTGTTTTCCTAAATAAACAATAACCTTTATTTTGATTTTTACAAATTTGATACTTAATAATGGATGTTCAACTTATACAGAACAATGTTTTTAGCATGATATTCTGCTATGAAAGAAAAAGAAATAATTTCAGATGTTATATATTCTTCTTCAACCAATTCTGTATTAACTTTAGCTTCTAAAATTCCTGAGATTTTTACTAGAATTATAATCCAGCATAAAGGAAACCTAAAACAATATTTTTAAAATTTATTTTTAGTGATTAAAATATTATTACACTAGGGCGACCATACTTACAGCAATTTTGCTGTATTGTAAAGCATTTTTAAAGTTTGTCCAGCAATTGGTATTGTGCAGCAAACGTACAGCAAAATGGCATAGGTATATGTCCAGTGAAATGCTGTATTTATCCACCAAAACGTCACTACTGTCCAGCAATGGTAATACCTAATTTACTGAAATGTAACAAATTTAAATGTTATTTATCTTTAGTGAACTACATGAGCACTTCTAACTGCAGTCCTAGCAAGAAAGGTTTTATCTGCAAAATTATCAGTTTTTTTATTTATGTGCATTTGTCTACATTTTATCTTTCTTAATACTGAAATGGAATGTCTTATTTGCATCAAAGCACATCCCCAACTAGTCATTCATGAATTTCAAATACTCCGTGGCCAACAATACCCGAAGTTAAAGTGAGAGGGATAGATGTTCACAAACAAGTGTATGAGAAGATGGCGTCCTCTTTATGTTAAGAGCCATGGGCGTATCGTTATAGAGGGATATGAGATAACACATTAATATAATTTAGGAAATTAATATTTTTGTGTTTAAATTTCTAAAATAAAAAAGGAGTAGGTATATATGAGATTCCGAAGGAGAGGGTTAAATAAAAAAATGTTTATTCGTTCTAAAGCTAAGTTCCATTTAGTAAAGATTTTTATGAAATTAATAATTAATCGGGCAACGAGCGAATATTTGAGGGACGAACAGAGCGAGTCCCTGCAAAATGAACGAGTTACACAAAACGACATTTCGTGACGTGTTACATACAATATTTTTTCTAATTTTGACTAGATTATTTATAAAATTAAGATGTTTGGTAAGATCTTACTGACAAAGTGTTAAAAATAATAGGTAAACGTCAAATCGCCTGACAATCATAAATAATAACTTACTTATAATTTGGATATGGATATTCCTAGTTTTTATCTGTAAAGCCATGTCAGTTTATTAATTGAAACAGTGTTTTGATTATTTTGGGCTTTTTTTAGGATGGATCGACAGTTTAAATTAGTAACGGAACCATAATTAAAATTACTAAATAATTGTCAATTCACTGATTACATATATTTTTATATAGCCAATAATATTCCGTTGTTCGATATAAACTTACCAAGCAATGATTATTATTTTTGATTTTAAAACCAAAACAGCTTTATTTTTATATATTTTCTTTCGCGACTAGTGTCAAAATGATCTACTTTATGTCACTAGTTAAACATTAAGTAACTGGGATTTCACAAAAGTCACTTTATATGTTAAAATTAGAAAAAATATTTTAATATATTACAATTCATTATTTTTCTATTATCAAGTTACTGAATTTGTAGACAGAAATAAAACAAAGTCATAGTCTCAAAGAATAATAAATATTATTCTAACTTTATTTATTTATTTATTTATTTACGGGAAAACCCAATTTTACAACAAGTAAGAAATATTAGTAAGGACCGATTCCACCCTTTGTATTAAACATTGTCATTTTAATCTCCGTTTAATACAACGGTGGAATCGGCCCTTACATGCACAAATCTATCATGTAAAACATGACATACATCAACATACTGCAACATTATTATTATTAAAATAAATTTACAAAATATATACAGATAAAACCCTATTTTCACTAAAATAATTACGATTCCTATACAGTATGTGTATCACAAAGAGAAAAAAATGTATTTTAATTTTTTTTATTGATTTTGGAAAAGAATTACTTTTGTATTTATACTTTTAATTCTTTTTCTTTTCGCAAGATCCAACATTTTTTTAGTTTCATAATGTATTCGCACCTTGAAATAATTTTTAAGACATAGTTTTATTAACTGAGTGGAATGAGAATCAATAAATGATGTTTCATACAGGTGATCTCCAAAATAATTATATATATCACTACTCAAAGATCTCATTACATTGGTAATTAGAATATCTATTAATATTGTGTTGT